TTTAAATTTGCATGTATTGTGGTGCCTCCTCTAACATTATTCATATTTATAGGCCATACAAATCTAATACATCATATAAACTTCAACGTGATAGTTATGAGAGAATAGAATTATCACATTTATTTGAGTTAATTTTCTGAGTCTTTACTGGTTGCTTACATGTTTCTATAAAACTGAAGGAGCATTTACCAGTTTAGAGCAAGCCAGTACAATAGGGTTCTTTGTTTAAAAATATATTAATAATTTGAAAAGCAATGCTTGGTCATTAAACTTTAAATCTGACACGTTAAAAGTAAAAAATAATAGAAGGAACAAGGGAAAAAGACAGGACTAATTGTGTTTCATGGGACCTCCGAAGCCTACTTTAACCACTTAAGATAGAAGTCAACTTTAAACCATTTCAACTCAATGTAATTACTTGCAATATAAGAGTGTGAAGAGCTCTTCTGGCCTGATTCCATGTGAAACTGATGAAACTATATATAAATATCTGAAAGTCTCTAGAAATTAGTCCTAAAGGGTTATAACAAATGAAGAAACATCTATAAATCTCTAAAAATTCAGCAAAAAAAGGTGAGAGTTTGTGCTTTGAACCAAAACCTTTCTCTCCCTTTCTCCCCCCAGATCGGCATGGCAGAAACTACACTCCAGATTGTTATTCTCAATACTGGACTCCTTTCCACTTCAGCACCCAGACTGAGGATTTTCTTTATGGGAAGAACAAGATGTCACCATTTCTCACCCTGTCCCAACTACATGTTGTTGAAGTAAAGCTCCCAGAAAGTATGGTAGAGAGGTAGGAAATCTTTTCTTATTCCTAGTACCAGCTTATGAAATTGAAGATCTGCTTTGGCCATGGCGTATAGAGACGACTATGCCCTGATCACTCTTGCTCTTAGCTTCTAAGACAGTGGCTCAATAACAGGAATGGCAAGCCAAAAGGACCCAAGGTTGTCACCCTCCCCAAGGAGTGCTGAGCCCCTAGAGGAGGGGTGCCATTCCCAGAGAAGCTTAGTAGTGTCCTCACCCTTAACTTCAAAGTCCAGGCTCAGAGATTTTCCCAGGTGTGGGCAAAGAGGAACAGCCACTGAAACAGCTCCTAATCTCTTCCCCCAAATTTGACTTTATTTATAGCAGAGAGTGAAGAAGTTTAAGCCTAAAGTCATCCTCAAGAACAGTAGAGGTTGTGGTGAAACAAACGTAAGAGGAGATCGAAAAATGCCTACTAAACTGTAGGCTAGCTAGTTTTTAGCTATTTCAGTAAACCTGGAAGTAGAAAGTTGGGAGGAATCCTCTTGGGGTGAGCACAAAAATGAAATAGTAACCTCAGCTATTGAAAAGAGCCAGAATTTAATTGGATTCGCTTGTAGAATTTTAATAGCTTAAGTAATGCCCTACAGAATTATTAGAAAACTGAGTAAGCAGCTAGGGCAATTTAACACCTGGGCCTGGTCAAGAAAGAGAGTCCTCCTAAACCACTTGTCGTCTCTGGATGACTAGAAACAACATTCAAGTCTGAATGCTGTGTGTGTGTGTACACATGTGTATGCATAAGGAATAGAAGGGGGTAGACTCAACTAAATAATCATCTAAAGCAGTCACTAAACATATAAACAAAAATAACAATAAGACGCTGAAAGGGAAGGTGGAACCAGTATCCAGAATTGGTACAATATATTATCTAATATGACGTTTTTAACAAAAAATTTATAAGGCATGAAAAGAGAGGAAAAAACAACTCATACACCAGAATGAAATCACACACACACACAGACACACACACACACACACACACACACACACACACACACACACCCCTGTGAGAGAACCAGATAACAGATTTATCAGATTTTAAGGTAGCCATTATAAGCATGTTTAGAGAATTAAAGAAAACCATGATTAAAGAAGTAAATGGTGATGTGGTGACAATGTCACATCAAGAAAGGCTATCAATAAAGAGAAAGTATAAACAAGAACCAAGCAGAAATCACGGATTTGAGAATTATCTTAACAGAAATAAAAAATTCACTAGAGGGGCTCAATAACAGACTGAAATTTCAGAAGAAAGAATAGGATAACTTGAAGATAGATTGATATAGGGATGATGCAAGCCTAAAAATGTAGAGAAAATTAGTGAAGAAAAATGTAGACTCAGTGAAATGTGAGGAACTATTAAGCACACCAAAATAGATATAATGAAAGTACTAGAAGAAAGGAGGAAGAGAACAAAGCATAGAATGCATTAGAAGAGATAATGTTTAAATTTTTTTAAAGTTTATTTAATTTTGAGAGAGAGAGTGTGAGCATGGAAGAGGCAGATAAAGAGGGAGACACAGAATTTGAAGCAGGTTCCAGGCTCCAAGTTGTCAGCAAAAAGCCTGACACAAGGCTTGAACCCACGAACCATGAGATCATGATCTGAGCTGAAGTCAGATGCTTAACCAACTGAGCCACCCAGGTGCCCCAGAAGAGATAATGTTTTAAACAGTACCTTAATTTGATGAAAAACATTAAACTATAAATCCAGGTAGCTCAGTGAATTCCAAATAGGATAAAGACAAAAATATTCACAGGCACATCATATTAAAAGTGCTAGAAGTCAGAGGAGAAGACAATCTCAAAAGCAATAAGAGATAAATGACTTATTACTTACAAAAGAAACTCAATAGGATTAACAGTTGAATTCTCAGTAGAAAAAATATAGGCCAGCAAACAGGAGGGTAACATATTCAAAGTACTCAAAGAATAGATCTTAACCAAGAATCTTGTATCTAGCAAAGCTATCTTTTATAAATGAAAGCAAAAAAAGACTTTCCTAGATTAAAAACAAAAACAAAACCAAACAAAAATAAACTGAGAGAAATTGATGCAACTAGATTCACCTTACAAGAAATATTTACACATTTCTTCAGGCTGAAAGCAAGTGACCCCAGATAATAATTTGTATTCACACAAAAAAACAAAAGCTCAGTAAAAGTAATTATATAATTTTACAAGACAGAAGAATTCATATTTTCCTCTTTATTCTCTGCTGGTTTAAATCAATTGCATAAAATATATTTATAGTATATTATTGGGTCTATGAAAAATAAATACAATATATATATAATATATCTGTCAACAATAGTGCAAAAGAGGTGAATAGAGTAAAACTGTTTTGGGTTAAGAAAATGACAACAGATAAAATTCTATATTATTGGGTTTAAAACAGTAGTAAATATGTATAATTATTGCGAAAGGGGGAGAGGGAATAGAGAAACATGTCTATTTATCACTAGAATTAAGCAATTATGGATCAGAAAGTAATTCAGATAAGTTCAAATGTATATGATAAACTGTAAAGCAGTAATAAATGTAAAAATAATGTAACTTACATAATGAAATTATTATTAAACATTAATATTTATATGATGAAAGATTTACTTAATAAAAAAGAATTTTAAAAAATAGAGAAACAAAATATGTCAGAAAACCTGTAGAAAATTTTAAAAAGTGAAATGGCAGACATAAATCCAACTGTATAAATAACAACATTAAGTGTAAATGAATTAAATACATGTTCCATTTATATACTATCTAAAGGGTACACTACTGTGAAGCATTTGAAGAATACCAACTCTTTATAAAATATTTTTCCCTGAAAAAATAGGAGGGAAAACACTTGACAGCTTATTCTGTGAAGCCACCATTATCTTGATACCAAAACCAAAGAGAGCACACCAAAACTAGAGATCAATACATTTTATAAATATGTATGCAAAAATATTCCACAAAATACCAGCACACTGAATCCAACAAAATGAAAATAATTATACAATATGGCCTAATGGTATATATCCCAGGAATTCAAAAACATTTCAATATCTCATGTCAATTAATGTAATACATCATATTAAAAGAATAAAAAAAATCACATGCTAGTTTCAAGAGATGAAGAAAAATAATAAAAACACAACAATATTTCATGATGAAAACACTCAATAAACTAGGCATAGAAAGAAACTCCCTTAACCTCTAAAAATAATCTACAAAGATCCTCAGTTATAACATACTTAATAGTAAAAGACTGAATTCTCTCCCCCTAAGATCTGGAACAACAAAGAATGTTCGCTTTCACTACTTCTTTTCAACATTATTTTGGGAATTTTATCCATGTCAATTAGGTAAGAAAAAGAAACAAAGGTCATCTAAAGTGGAAAGAAAGAAGTAAAAATAACACTACCACAGATGACATGATCCGTGTGTCTTAAGGAATCCATTAAAAAACTATTAGAAATAACAAATGAATCAGTATGTTCACAGGATACAAGATTCATTACACTTGAAATTGCAGCAAACATTCTGAATGTGAAAATAAGAAAACAATTCTATTTAAAATATCTTCAAGATAATACTCAGAAATAAGTTTACAAAATAAACGCAAAGCTTATCCTCTGGAAAACAAAAAACATTCCTGAAATAAGTTAAGATATAAATAATTGAAAAAGCACCAGTTTCATGAATCAGAAAATGTAACATTGTTAAGACTGAAGTAACTCCAGACTGAGACTCAGTGCAACCCAATTAGCATCCTAGCTGACGTCTTTGTAGAAATTGACAAGCTGACTCTGTAATTCATATAGAATTGTAAAGGACCTACAATAAGTTACCACTTCACACCCACTAGGGTGACTAGAAACAAAAGTCAGATAATAATAAGAGTTAGTAAGGATTTGAGGAAGTAGGATACCTTCACGAATTGCCGGTAGGAATATAAAATGACACAGTCACTTTGGAATAGTCTGGCAGTTTATCAAACAATTAGAGTTACCATATGACCCAGAAAATTTCTGACTAAGTATACACTTAAAAAAAATGAAAACCTATGCTCACACAAAAACTTTTACAAATGTTCAGAGCAGTATTCATTATTCATAATAACCAAAAAATAGAAACAAGTCAGTGCCCATTGACAACTGGGTAAACAAAATATGATATATCTATACATTGGGTCCTAATACCTTTTTTATCTGGGGAGTCCTCAGGAAGCAGTGGTGTTTTTTTGTTTTCTTGTAGAAAAGTAGAATCTGAGGAAAGATAAAAAGAAACAAAACACTTTTTAAAGTCTCTGGAACTAGCATCCCATCCAAAATGATCATTTCTATTCACATTCTAACAGTTAAGGAGGCAAGCCCTGAATCAATGATGAAGGAATATCTTCTCTACCTAATAGAATGGTAGATACTGCAAAGCCATGTGGCAAAAGGTGTGGTTGTATAACCCTGTGAAGGGAAGAAGGGAAGAGCTGTGAACAAGAATTCAATCTGATATAGTACAAATTATGGTTGTGATTCCAGGCTATCTCTAAGGTTTCCTCCTTAGAATTTAATTTGTTCTCTTCTCATAGACTGCAGTGTGAAAATGGAAGTAACCAAACTTCAAACACGTAGGTCAGGATGATATACTTAGAGATGCCAGGCTTATAGGACCGAAGGAACCTGGGTGCCAGAAATACCTCTTTGAGCAGAGCTAAGCTGTAAACATAGATTTCTGGGCTGCTTATGAGAGACAATCTATGGCTATGTTATTAAAATTTCTGTATTTTGAAAGATCTTACAGTATGCTTAATTTAATAGTACGGTTACTATAATCTTAATGTGGCTGATCTTACTGAGTGCTATCTGGGTGTAGTAAAACAGCAGAATATATCAACCATAATCAAACATATTAGTAAATACAAGCACATTTGTTTTATCCCTGGGGGTTTAACAGTGAAAATTAAATCTGCTGCATAATAAATTACAAGTATAAAGGGTATCATCAAAGTCAAAGTTTAGGTATAACAAGGGAGATCTAACTAGTCTATTGATTGAGTCAAGAAAGGCCTCTTTAAAGAAGTGGTGTTTAAAGTGATTCCTAATGGCAGAATGGTATTTACATGGGTAAAGGGGCTAAGGGTGTTAAAAGGTGTTCCGAACACAGAGAAAACCAAGTCATTTAATGACACACAACAGGAAAAAACATGGCATACTGAGGAAGTGAAATGCATTCTAATGGCCAGAGTTCAAAGAGTGAGGAAGGAGGACTAGAAGTGGAGGCCAGATCTTAGAGACTCATATGAAAGATACGGAACTGTGAATAAAAATTAAAAATAAATACAATGATACAGTACTGTATACAGTACAGAAGCTATAAACACAGCTTCAAACAGGATATGATATATAATGTTTAAGTTTAAACATCTTCAGAATATAGATAATTAGATTTTGCTGACTAAGAAGAATAATTCAGTTTGGGGCATGTTGGAAGGGTCATTCCTTCAAGATATTTAAGCAGAGACATTCAAACAGTTGGAAATCTAGATGGGGATTCAGTCAACATTTCAACAGGTCATATGTGTTTTACAGTTACTGTAATACAGATGATAAGAATCAAAGTAAAACTGATCCTTTTTTATTAATTCTGTATTTGTAAATCCGCCTACTATGATTTGTGATCCCCAAATCAATAAACATTAGTGTTTTCCTGGACAAGTACAGGACACATGCCTGCCCCCGAAAGATCCCAACTGCGATGGCATAGGGGATACTCAGTCCTCTTGCTTTACTCTCATACTGCATGGTCTATTTAGTGGCACTTTTTTTTTTCTGATGATTTCATCATTTAAAATGGCCCGAAGAATAGTGCTTAAGTGCTGTCTAGAGTCCTTACCAATTAAGAAAAATGTGATGCGCTCTATGGAGAAAATATATATGCTAAATAAGATCTGTTCAGCCAGGAATTACAGTGCTGCCGTCCATGAATTCAGTCTTAATGAATGAAAGAGCAGTGTATTTCAACAAAGTGCCTTTAAACAGATAAACATATAAAACAGTTATGTTTTGATCAATTGACAAAAATGCTGCAGCCAGAGGCTTAAAACTTAATCGAATTTCTCCTCATGTCAATAATTCAGTATTCGCTAATTCAGACTTGGCAGTGGCTTCTTAGTACATAATTATTCTAAATAACGAGAATGAAATGTAAATAAAGTGTAAAGTTTCTTATATTTGCCCGCCTATCCTTTAAGACACAGGAATTTAAATTTAGAACTTTAAGAATGTTTATGAGCAGGGACTTTATAGATATGTTTTATTGAGGAAAGAGCTACTATGCTATATATTTCTGCTGGCTTTCAATATATTTCATTTTGTGTTCTTATACAATAGCATCCGTCAAATAACATTTAATCATTCATCTAGATTATTTTAAATTACTAACAACATATAATTAATGGGAATATACATGGGAAACAAACAGTTCAATGGACATAAAACATTTTGAGAGCAACTGGCAATAGTAGAGATTCAAATATAAATAAAGTATATGTATTTCACATAATTAGGACCTTTACTCAGAGTAAAAATACATTTGTTGAAAAAACGTTGGCTAGCCTGATTTGTCCTATAATTAATATACTAATTCATTGTGAAGTACAGCTTCATTGCCCATTATTTTTCTATTTTTAAAAAATTTTTTAATGGTTTATTCATTTTTGAGAGACAGAGACAGCATGAGCAGGGGAGGGCTAGAGGAGGGGGACACAGAATCTGAAGACGGGCTCCAGGCTCTGAGCTAGATGTCAGCACAGAACCCGACATGGAGCTCGAACTTGAGATCATGACCTGAGCTGAAGTTAGACACTTAACTGACTGAGCCACCCAGACTCCCCAATTGCCCATTATTTTAAAATAGTACAACTTCATACTCTGAAATATAAGGCAAATGGACTAACACTTGGAACAAATTATGTCTATGATTTTTTCCAGGCTTATATATAGGTATAAGCTTATGAAAATTATTAAAAAGTAAACTTTCTTTAAGAATAAAAATATTGATTTGTGTACAATGTTATCTAAAAATTGGATGTAGGTGACTAAAGATAACCAAAATTCAAAACTTGTAACTTACACTGAAAAGTCTACTGAACAACTGATGGGTCAACAAAGAAATCAAAGAAGATATCAAAAACAAACAAAAACAGAGACAAATGTAAATGAAAGCATAAGAGTCCAAAATCTTTGTGATGTAGTGAAAGCCATTCTAAGAGGGAAATTTATAGTGATACAGGCATGCTTCAAAGAACAAAAGTATCTAACAATCTAATTTTATATTTTAAAAATATAAAAACAAAGCCAAAAGTTAGAAGGAAGAAAATATTAAAGATTACAGTGAAATAAATGAAATAGTTACTAAATTACTTAAAAAGGAAAATAAGAGAAAGTTCTTTGAAAAGATGTATAGAAATGATAAGGTTTAGCTAGGACTCAATTCATTTTTCAATCAGAAATGAAAGAGAAATAACAAACACAACAGAAATTAAAAAGGGAAAAAAGAATGAGACAAATATGATAAATTATGTGTCAATAAATTGGACAACCTACAACAATGGATAGAAGCATAGTCTTTCAAAACTAAATCAGGGAGAAATACACACAAAATCTGAACTAATTATGAATGAAAGTGAATCAATAATAAAAACAATCCCAAAAGACAAATGTATAGGACCAGATAGCTTCACGGGTGGTTTTTATGAAATATTTAAAGAAGAACTAATACCCATTCTCCTCAAACTATTTCAAAAAGAATATAAGAGAAATAAAAGTTTCCAAATTTATTCTTTGAGACCAGCATTATCCTGACTCCAAGACTAAAGACACTACAGAAAATGAAAACTACAGGCCAATATCCCTGGTGAATATAGATGTAAAAACATAGATTTTAACAAAGCATTAGCGAACCAATTGAACAATGCATTAAAAGGATAATTCTCCATAATCAGGTGGCATTTATTTCAAGGAGACAAGGATGGTTTAATATCTGCAATTAAATCAACATGATACATCACATTAACAAAATAAAAGATAAAAACTATATGGTTATTTCAATAGATGCAGCAAAAACATTTGACAAATTTCAACATCCATTCATGATAAAAGCTCTCAAAGTGGGTTCAGAACAAACATACCCCAACATAATAAAGGTTATATAGACAAACATACAACTAATATCATACTCAATGCTGAAAACTGAAAACATATCCTCTAAGATCATTAAAAAGATGAGGATATCCACTTTCATCACTTTTATTCAACATAGAATGGGCAATCCTAGCTACAGCAATCAGACAAGAGAAATAAAAGACATTCATTGGCAAGGAAGAAGTAAAATTGTCACTATTTGCAGATAATATGATACTGTATGAAGAAAACTGTAGAGACTCAACCAAAAAAATTAGAATGGGGGCATCTGGGTAGCTCAGTCGGTTGGGCATCTGGCTTCGGCTCAGGTCATGATCTCACAATTTGTGGGTTCAAGCCCTGCATCGGGCTCTGTGCTGACAGCCAGCTCAGAGCCTGGAGCCTGTTTCAGATTCTGTGTCTCTTTCTCTCTCTGGCCCTCCCCTGCTCACACTGTCTGTCTGTCTGTCTCTCTCTCTCTCTCTCTCAGAAATAAATTTTTAAAAAATTTAAAAAAATAGAATAAATGAATTCAGTACAGTTGGAGGATACCAAATTAATATACAACAACCTGTTGCATTTCTATACACAAACAATGAAATCACAGAGAAATAAAGAAGGCGTTCCCATTTCCATTCGTTCCAAAAAGAAAAAGAAAAAGAAAACATGAATGAATTTAACCAATTTAACCACTAAGATGAAACACTTTCATTCTGACAGTTATAAAGCATTGAAGAACAAAAGTGAAGATGACCAAACATATGGAAATATACTATACACATGGATTGGAATAATTAATATTGTTAAGATGGCCGTATTACCCAGAGCAGTTTACAGATTCAATACAATCTCTATCAAAATATCAATGATATTTATCACAGAAGTGGAACAAATAATCCTAATATCTGAATGGAATCAGAGAAGACCCACAATCACCAAAGCAATCTTGACAAAGAAAAAATCTGGAGGTATCACACTCTCTGCTTTCAAGATACACTGTAAAACAACAGTAATCAAAACAGTATGGTACTGGCACAAATACAGATAGATAGTGGAACAGAAGAGAGACCCCAGAAATAAATCCATACTGT